CTGGAGTGAAGTATTTCAAGCCCTAAAAGAAAATAACTTCCAACCTAGACTGTTGTATCCTGCAAAATTATCTTTCAAAATCGATAGGGAAATTAGATCCTTCCACGACAAAGAACACCTGGGAAATATCATGAACTCCAAACCAGCACTCCAAAAAATTCTATGCAATATCCTAGAAAAAGGCAACGAAGGTCACAACTCCATGAGGTTCAACAGAGGGAAGCCACAAGGCAAGGTAAGAAACTAAAGGGAGAGGGGGAAAAAAAAAAAGAAATAAAAGATCCAACAACAAAAAAAACATCATGACAAGGATGAGTCAATATCTGTCAATTATAACTATCAATGTTAATGACCTCAATTCACCAATCAAAACAAGTAGACTGACAGAATGGATTAAGAAGCAAAATCTAGCAATATGCTGTATACAAGAAATACACCTAACTGAAAAAGGAATTCATAGACTGAAAGTAAAAGGATGGAAAACAGTTCTCCACGTGACAGGAACCCAGCAATAAGCAGGCACAGCAATGTTATTTGCAGACAAAGTAGATTTCAAATCAAAACTAATTAAGAGAGACAAAGATGGGCCTCCACCACGCTGCGGTTTGAGGGTGAGAGGCTGGGGGAGGGTAGCGGAGCCAGCGATGCCGCCATGTTGCATCTGAGGGGGCTGCTGTAGGCGCCCAAGGAGCGAGTGAGCGGACGTGCAGAGCGGCGACAGCGGTGTGGGATCTGCCTCTTTGCAAGCTGCCCAGAGCGGCGCCATGAGCGGGGCACTCCTTACATCCGCAGCAAGATCAGCCTCATTTCTAAGGCGGAGATCCACTACGAGGGCATCCTCTACACCATCCACACAGAGAACTCCACCGTAGCCCTCTCCAAAGTTCGATCCTTTGTTACAGAAGACAGACCAAGAGATCATCCAATACCACCTCGAGATGAAGTCTTTGAATACATTATATTCTGCAGGAGTGATATTAAAGACCTCACTGTTTGTGAGCCACCAAAACCACAATGTTCTTTGCCTCAGGACCCAGCTATTGTTCAGTCTTCATTAGGTTCATCTACTTTTTCATTCCAGTCAGTGGGAGTGGGTTCCTATGGACCTTTTGGCAGGATGCCGACATACAGCCAGTTCAGTCCAAGTTCATTGGTTGGGCAACAGTTTAGTGCTGTTAGTGTTGCTGGAAGCTCTTTGACATCCTTTGGAGGAGAAATGTCAAACAGCAGTAACTTATCCCAAAGTAGTGCAGTTGGATCTGCCTTTACACAGGGTACAAGATCTATAAAAACACAGTTATCTCAAGGTCGTTCAAGCCCTCAGTTAGACCCTTTGAGAAAAAGTCCAACCATGGAGCAGTACAGACCTCCTCGGCCCACTTACCTGCTCCAGCACCTGTTGGGAGAAGGAGCCCTATATCAAGCAGGCCTTTGCCATCCACCAGACAAAAAGCATTAGAGAATCAAGAGCACAGGAGAGCTGAAGTCCACAAAGTTCCAAGGCCAGAAAATGAGCAACTCAGAAATGACAGCAAGAGACAAATAGTTCCAGGTGCTCCTTCCACTCCAAGGAGAGGGTGTGGAGGTCACTGAGATGGCCGGTGAAGGTCTGGTAATCGGCGAGATGGTCCAACGAAATTTGAGAAAGACTTTGACTTCGAAAGTGCGAATGCACAATTTAACAAAGAGGAGATTGACAGAGAATTTCATAATAAGCTTAAATTAAAAGAAGATAAGCTTGAGAAACAAGAGAAACCTGTAAATGGTAAAGATAAGGGAGACTCGAGAGTTGATACCCAAAACAGTGAAAGAAATGCTAATGAAGAAGACCCACTTCGACCTAATTGCTATTATGACAAAACTAAATCCTTCTTTGATAATATTTCTTGTGATGATAATAGAGAATGGAGACCAACCTGGGCTAAAGAAAGGAGATTAAATGCTGAAACTTTTGGAATTCCACTTTGTCCAAACCATGGCCGTGGAGGGTACAGAGGAGGGAGAGGAGGTCTTGGTTTCCGTGGTGGCAGAGGACGTGGTGGTGGCAGAGGTGGTACCTTCACTACTCCTCGGGGATTTCATGGTGGATTCAGAGGAGGTGGTGGAGGAAGAGAGTTTGCAGATTTTGAATATAGGAAAACCACAGCTTTTGGACCCTAAAGGGTCTGGATTGGTCTTACTGCTTTCTGAAAGAAAGACAACAAAGTTGCTGCATAGTCTTCGAACAAGTCTTTGAAAATGGGTGAATTTGTAGCTCTTCATGGTCCTGAAAATTAATTCAGTCTTTGCGAGGAATGAAGAAGTGAATTTGCTATATATTTGTCACCAGCACTGGGTTTTGTTTGTTTATTTTGCTGCTTAATTTCAATGATACTACACAGTTACTTTTGAGGGGAGGAAGGCTCATCTTCATTTGATCTTAGCCCAAAGGCTGAGAAGAGATTGGGGAAGGCTCATCTTTATAAATGAGCATTAAATATATTTGGAATAGCAGAAGGTTAAGTAATTTCTTATGTATAGTTAAACTAAAGCAGTACTTCAATGGCACTTATAAGTATTTTTTCATTACTGAGAGGATTTTTCTTATCACTAAATTGTATTTGGCAATTATTACAAGTTGCCTACAGATAGGGCCGTGATACTGTGTTTTGAGCCACAAAAGGTTGTGAATGCGTGTGTGTGTGTGTGTGTGTATGTATGTGTGTGTGTCTTTCTCTTTCTTTTTTCTTTCTTTTTGGAAATTTTATGAGGTAGCTTATTTCATCAGTTAATTAGGGTGCTGGATGGTAGAGAATTTTGTCAGTCAACTATGTACACACAGTAAATAGTTTCTTAGGCAAAGGTAACTTTTTTATATAGTTGCAAACTTTCATTATATTCCATTGCCAAAGAAACATTAAGAACTTTGTATAGCTGTATAAAAAGCAACCAATTTTTTAAAGAATGAACATTTTAAAGTCAGCAAACAGACTGTGTCTTTGCAGAAGTTGGTGTGCTGAGGAGCAAAGTTATGAGTGGGTCTCTTTTTTTCTTAGCTTTCCAGGCTTAAGATTTTTTAATTTCTGTTTTTAATGTTGTGAACATAAATGAAGATTTGATACATTCTTCCAAAAGGGTAAATTATTCATACTCAGTCTTAGAACTTCATTTTGTAGCAAATGATGTATCACAGGATTTGTTCAAATAATAGATATTTTCAGTATACAAATGTAAATAATCAGAGATAAGAATATACTTTGCTGTATTTTCAAATAAGTAACCCTCCCCCCTTTTTTAAGACATTGAAACTAGGTATCAGTTAACCTGTTCTTCCTGATATACCTGGAATTTTAAAATTATTTTGGCAACCATCATCTGTATCACGTCATTAACACTTTCTGTGGGTCTGTGACCCATAAATGACTCAGAATAGAGTTCATTGCTAATTACAAATTCTAATCAGTCTTTTTGATATTTTAGCTATCATGGAAAAAATTAGCTATTTTTGTGTTTTTATGAAGCCCATGGAATTAATATATCCAAAGATTTAAATATTTTTATCTATTTTGATTTTTGTTAACATTACTCTTAAAACATTCAGTAATGATAAAGGTATAGAAAACTGCATGGTAGCAGAATTGGAATATTTAAAGATGGTTGACATTTTTAATTTTAATTTTATATCTTTTGTATAGCTCTACAACGATATGTTTTATAATTTGCTTTCATTACTAAAATCCAGTATTTGGCAGCCATAGTTTAGATAATATTGTTTAGTACTATTTGTTTGCATGTTAACAACAGAATCTTTGGAGGACCCACAAATCAAATACTGAACACATTTCTGAGGCATTCTGAGCATCACAGCAAGTGATATGGCAATACTTACATAGACGGAGATGTTCCAGGCTGATTTCAAGAACAAAACTGTAAATAACAGTTCTATGTGGTCTGAAAGAATGAGTTCATGTGTTTTCCCAGCCCTCTGGGTCACTGATTGGGAGCATTTGTTGTCCCAGTAACAACTGACAGCATGGCATACCTGCAGTGCACCTTAATATTAGCAAGGTTTTAATTCTAAAACAGAATAAAACTGTTAAATAAAGAGAGACAAAGATGGTCACTACATCCTTGTGAAGGGAACAATCCAAGAGGAAGAGATGAAAATCATAAATATACATGCACCAAACACAAACATCCCAAACTGTACAAAACAAATATTAATGGACATGAAAAACCAAATAAACACTAATACAATTGTAGTGGGGGACCTCAGTACCCCACTATCACAAAGAGACAGATCATCTAGACAAAATACTATCAATGAAATTCTAGAACTGAACCAAGCTATTAAACAAATGGATTTAATAGATGTTTACAGAGTGTTCCACCCCACAAAATAAGAACACACATTCTTTTCAGCTGCACATGGGTCATTCTCAAAAACTGACCACATGCTACCTCACAGGACATGTCTAAGTAAATGTAAAAGAACTGAAATTACCTCCTGTATATTATCAGGCCATTGTGTAATAAAATTGGAGATCAATAACATAAGAAACTGCAAAACTCCCACAAACACTTGGAAATTGAATAACACCCTCCTGAATAAGCAATGGGTCACAGAGGAAATTAAAGAAGAAATTAAACAGTTTCTACAAGTAAATGATAATGCCAGTACAATGTACAGGAATCTATGGGACACAATGAAAGCAGTTCTATGTGGGAAATTCATAGTAGTGAATGCCCATATTAGGAAAACAGAGAGAACTCAAATAAACTAATGCAGAACCACAAGCTCCTAGAAAAAGAAGAGCATAACAAACCCAAAGCTCTACAAGAGAGGAAATTATAAAGATCAAAGCAGAAATCAATGCAATGGAGATTAAGAAAATGATACAAAAAAATCAATGAATCAAAGAGTTGGTTTTTTGAAAGAATAAATAAAATC